GGGGGGCGGTAAATAGCAATCCACAAAAAAAAAATCATAGACTTCTATCCTATATTTCTCTAAAGTTTAATGGATAACAATTCATACAAATTCAAAACTCATCGGAAGATGACAATTCATCTTTCGTAAATTCACGTTATACACAAAATATACAATTTACTCAATTCCCTATAATGCAGCTACAACCCAATTTCAATTTTTTTTTCAAGTACTCGCACCAATGCATTTTATCCAAATTCATAGGTTTCGAAGTATCTTTTCCCCAATTACAAAATTTAATGAACATGAATCAATCTCAATATAAGTGGTCAGTGTATGACATTCCAAGTGCATTTGGATGCCTTATCAACAAGACAATTTCATGCCGACTAGATCCTTTAATAGCCCCATTGAAGTTCCACGATCTTGCACAATCCCGGAGGTTGAAAGGATTAACAACATTTACCTTAAATGCATATTCATAAAAAGCAAAAGAAATTAAAATGTGATAGATCCTAAGAGAATTGTGTCTTTGTGTCTTATTTTAATGATACAACTATTTGGATTTTTGGAAGTTTGCCATATTTCAATTTTCATTAGTCAATGTCATCATTTTTTTTCCCATGAACCTTTACAGACTTGCTTAAAGGAGGGAAAAAAGATACATATTAGACCTAATTTACCCTAATTCAAAACAAATTTGACTTCATTTTGCTGCAAATCCAGTCATTGATTATGAATCTGTCAATTAACTTTGACATTCACAAGTAGATTGACTCATTTACCTTCACTTCGCCCTCCTTTTTTCTTTCTCCTTTTTATTTTTTCCCAGCAAATTAGTTTGCAGTTGAGACTCAATGCTATAACCAATTCATTAATTCACATAGAAACTCATACACTACATATTTATTCATAGTTAGAAGAGAACTATACATCCATGACATACAACTTTCTCTGTAAGATCAAAGTACTGAATAAATTTAGAAAAGATTAACCCTTTTTGACATATATACACAGACAACAAAAATGGCGTTTTCTCAGCTGTCAGCAGCTCTGAAAACGGTCATAAGCGAAAGGAAGAGGTTAATCACATCCAAATACAAAGCAACGGCAGCCCATATGTACTCATCATACGTGTAGCGTTTGATAAGATTATCCGTGTCGTATATGATGTAACCACAGAAGATTATCGAGGCAAGGCAGCCGTAGATCATCACACTTATTCGACCTAATGGGAAAAAGATCTGCAAACACGAAAACATAAATAACATTCAGTAGCAAATCTTCATGAAACTCACTAATTTGAAAAATCCATTCAAGTCGACCGATGTAAATGAGATTCGTACTTGTATAAGCGCAAACAACATGAGAACCATAACAGCACCGAACAAGAATGGCCCCAAGAAATTGAAGTCATGGCCTCTCTTTGCAGCCCAAAATGTGTATAGAGTGAGACTAACTACCACAACAGTGGTTAGGATAACAGATTCCAGAATGATTTTCCCTGCAAAACATTCAATTTGCAATCACAATTACTAACTTCGATGAGAAACTTTAAAAATGAGGAGAGAAACAGCCCATTTTAAAATCTAGGGACCATGCACCATTAATATTTCAATTCGTGAATAGATACTGAATCTTGCCACCTTTTACTAAAAAAGGGAAGCCCTTATTGTAGCTCTCGAGTTTAATGTTTCGATTCTTGAGTAGATACTAAATCTTACCACCTTTTACTAAAACAAGGAAGCCCTTATTGTAGCTCTCGAGTTTCTGTAAAATTAATGTTTCAATTCTTGAATAGATACTAAATGTGACCACCTTTTACTAAAACAAGGAAAAGCCCTTATTGTAGCTCTTGAGTTTCAATAAAATCAGTTTCGAGTCGAGTGGTGAAATGGTGACTTCAATTTCAATATAGTCACAACACGTTTAATTTTATCCACTTTCAACAATCAAAGCCACACGAACCAGAATATAACAATCGACCGAAAGTGCCAAAACAGTTTAGTCATAAGCATATCAACAATACTACAGTATTACAAAATCAAGAAAAGGTGTAGAAAAAAGATTACTTGCAACACAGAGCCAATGTATTCCCAAAAAGTCGTTCACGAATTCTTGTTAAACAACCTTTAGGAGATCGAAAAACTTACTAGAATAACTCTACACAACTCTAGTAAATTCACATTTTTTTCAATCATAATTTGAAACAATAATCAGGAAAAAAAAAAGGAATGGAATCACTCACCACTTGTGAAAGCACAGGTCAACCCCACCACAAACGCTAGCGATACAGTAAACAGCCCGAGCAAGAAATAATTCACAGGGTGCTTCTGGTGATAATAATATAACGGACACAACAC